GTGTGTGTGTGTGTGTGTGTGTGTGTGTGTGTGTGTGGTTGGGGGGGACTCTGACGTACAGAGCTGTAGTCCAGAACACCAGTCAGACAACAAAGAAGAAGCTCCAAGGCTGAACAAATGTAAGTGAGGCATGAGAACTAAATAACGGATGAATGGATGAAGTGATGGATTAGAGAAGGAGGGAGCGATAAAATAAAAGGGAAGAAGAACAGAGGAGAGGACAAAGTTTAACTCGAGTATCTAAATAGAGCAGATCAGAGGATGTTTGTCAGTGTGAGGTTGAAATAACACAACATTTAAGATGTGCGATTCAGGTTACACTTGATATTAAGCCACATCATGAGTAGATGAAGGGGAAGCGTGTGTGTTAAGGTGAAGACATACATGATGCAGTACCAGTTTTAACCAAAAGAGGGGGTGGTATTCAGGTAAAGCAACCAACCAATGAGTCATTAGTATCTGTGCTATGTCTGCATATTGATGTCTTACCTTTGGCAGAGGCTTTTGAAAGGCCTGCATCGCCAGCATAAGTGGAGCCGCAGAGCTCCAGTTATAGTACCTGAGGGAGCATAACAAAATATATTTATATCATTTCCATAAACACTGCTACAACTTTCTACCACTTTCTTCTCAGTCAATCAAGTGTTCACGTCTTACTTGGAGCCGATTTTTACAACCAAGTTGGGGTCGTCGATGAGGGAGGGGTTCTCTGCAAACTGCTGGTAGGAGATGATTTTCTCGTGGAACTGCTCTGTGAACACACACACACACACGGGTCATGTTCATGTCACGGTGAGGGACATTTAGCTGAGAGTCCTTCACAAGGACTCTGATCTAGCGTGCAGTCATCCCCCGGTAAGCAGAAGCATCTTACCTTTTGTGATCTCCCTGTTGTCAGTGAGGCCTCCACACAGAGAGACAGCGATAGACGGCAGGTCAGACATGTGGTCGCAGTAGCTGTCCAAGCCGCTGTCTCCTCCGGAGCTGATCGACTGCGGGGACAGACTGGCGCTGTGGAGGCCCGGGTCTGAGATGCTCCTCACGGTTGCACCGCCGTCACTACGAGAAGAAGAAGTGGAGATATCATTGCATGAAAACTTTTCATGTCAACATTTGTGCGTCTCTGTGTGTGTGTGTGTGTGTGTCCATGTACCTCTTAGGGAAGTAAAGTGCTGCCACTTCAGGCTCGAGCTCTGTGATGTCATCCAGGTAAATCCCATCTGAACCGAGATGGCGGCTCCTCTTGTCTACAACTGAGCAAAAAATTGTCATTTATTATGGAAATCAGTTTTTGAATATTGAACTCGGCAGTGAAAATACTAGAAAACATATTAATCTTATGCTTGTTATTGACTAAGTGCACAACTTCATTCAAATTCCTTTGAATGTTACCTTTTCTCTTGGATGGAGAGTCAGACTTGCCAAGCGGCCGCGGCAACGCGTCCTCCAGGTCAGCCATCATACGAGCAGCAACACTTTCCACCGTCGACACCTGGGTCTCTGAGGTGACGGTCTGAGACTCCATCCTCGTGGATTCTAAATCCATCCCAACCGTGACAACCGTTTGTTCTGTGGCGACAGTGTCGTCCGGCATCAGCAGCTGAAGCCTTGGTATTTCAGACGGGGGTCCGCATCGTTCTGAAGACGTGTCGTGAGTAATCACGCGGAAATGGGTGCTGTCAGACACGGGGATGGATACGGGACACACTGGTGGAGGGTCGGACCTCACTGGGAGGAAGGACGGCTGGGAGAAACAGGGAAGTGTACAATGATGATATTGATATGATAAATAAAACACTGAAACATGTACTAACTGAACTTTTTATACTGTTGTTCTGTGTGTGCACAGTGGATGGTGGTTACCATGGCAGCCTGTGGCAGCTCTCCCCACGCCCAGTGCATGGCTGGATTCTGGTTGTCCGCGTCTGACGGCTTGGTCATCAATTCAGAGTCACTCTTAGTGGACGTGGGACGAGAGTTTCCAGGGCTGAGAGAGGAACAGACGATGAACAACAATTACACGTCTTTTATACCAAAGTCAGCGGGGCGCAGCTTTTTTAAATGAGTGCAAACATGTTAAAAAAGGTGATCGACCCCTTCTCCATTGCCAGTAGAGGAGTTCTTTGTGTTTCCCCCAGGTGTCATGTTTCAATCCTGGGCCATTTGGAGCCAGAGCTGGTAAAAACATGTGTCTATTGCTGAGTTAATTGCAGCCAGATGTTAGTGAGTGCTACTGAGTTTTTTGACCAATGGAGAAGGGGCTTTAAACATCTGTTTCCTTTCCGTTTAATTGTAGGTGTTTGTACGAGTGTGTATGGGAGAGGCACCTATGGATGGGACTCCACTCTCCATCTGAGTGGGTGTAGATTCCAGCCTGTTTGTAGGAGCCGCTGGTTGAACCGACGTTTGTCTCGTCTCTTAAAACATCTCGGGAAGAAGACCTGGAAAACACACACACCCAGAAAAACATCATGTAACTATATCCATGTGCGATTCTTTATTTTGCATGACGTCCTTTATTTTGTGCAGGGCTATAATTAACCTTCCACTTTTCACGTATTTCCCAGAGCAAGTTTTAAGACCCACATAGATCTTGCCTTAACTTGTTCCCCTCAAAACATGTCATGCAGCCACAGTTCATTGGGATTTATACTTTGCTCTAATGATGTTTGAATGTCATGCGAGGCTATCTGTTCTCTATAACAAGCTTTACCAGTAATATTCTAGACAACAGAATAAATCCCTCATTGTATTTAATCTCAATTTAGTTAGTTAACTTATCACCAATAATCAAAAACTACATAAATGCAAAAATTAGGAGGTCATGTTTTCATGTTACTCATCAGGCCAATAGCTGTATTCACCGTGACCTACATGAAACTTCCTGCTGTTGTTTTGTTACAGTAGAGAGCAGCAGAGAGGAAAATAACTCTTGTCATCAGCTCGTATTTAAAACTGCTGCTGTATCCATTCATGATAAGTGGACCAACAACATACAATATGACTCCTATAGCTGCGTGCCTGACCTGCATACTCCACATGCTAAGCCATTTTGGATCCAGTGCGTCGATGCACAGCGGAGGCTCAGTTACACTTTGGCACATGTTTGTCAACAGAAGTAAACAAGCACTCATTCACAAAAACACACACACACACAGCAACGATGTGATTCCTCTTTTCATATACTGTATGTGAAGATTGTCTTTCACATCCAGTGATAATCACAGCTGATGGAGGGTTTTCTGTTCAGTTTAAAGTGCTTCATCAGTGTGTAAGTGGCAGCACCACAGCTGGAAGCGTCTCCTCGACAGACACTGGTCTGTTAATTCATGCCCGACAGACTCCAGCTCCTCTACAGCTGCTCTCGAGGCTCAGTTCAGTGATGTATGGTACTTTTTACCTCAGCGCTTCCCTGTCCTTTACCCTCACTTCCAAAACTGATTTCCACTACACTTGGTTGAAGGATGGGGCCTGGACTTGGGAAGAAACCATTACATTTTTGTGTGGAGGCAGATTAAGGGGTGGATCCGTGGCATTTCTAGCTGACATATTTTGTGTTGCTGTACAACACTGTTACTTCTCTTGAGCAGATACACATAGTTAAGTGAAATAAATGTTAATTTGGTTTTCATGTCCACTGTTTAGGACTATATTTTATTCCACATGCTGAATAAATGTTATCAGACCCCTTCCTTTTCTCTTTTATATTTCTACTAAACACTAAAGTGAGGGGTTGTTGGGCCTTGGTTGAGGTATGAGCTCTACTGAGTGTCATTCCAGTTTCACCCACTAACACATTTTCTCCCCACTCCTGTCTCTACCCTTTCTCACCTGTTGCTCTCCATCTCCGCGCATTCGTCAGAGCTGATGTCTATGGTGAACATGTCCTCGTCTCCGGAGTAGTCTCCGCTCTCCTCCCTCCTCACGTTGTCTGCCCTGGCTTTCCTCCTCCTCTTCCTCCTCTTCTTCATCATCCCACCACCGGGCTCCCCGTTGTTCCCTGCGGAGCCCAGCGTCAGCACGGGCGGCCCAGAGCTCTTCCCCATCAGAGAGGAATTCATGAGAGCGGCCCCGTCTGACATGATCGGAGAGGTGGCCAGGTAGGAGGGAACCACTTCCTGTTGGGATGAGAAATAGAAGTAAAAGAGTGTTTTTCTTTGACATTCATATAGAAACAACATATAGAAATTTCAAGTAAATGAGCCTTTCTATGAGGGGTGGAAATCGCAGGGTTAGATATCAATACTCATTTCTTTGTCATAAGCGTTTGATAATGACAATTAAGGAATATATTATATATACTGTATACATTTTTATTTTATACTCCCTACTTCAGTATCAGCATCGACCCCCAAAAGTCCATATCAGTGGGACACGTTCTGAAATGATTTAAAAGGTCCTGCACTGATAAAACCTTTTTATGCTTTTGAACTATTTTAGCAAACAAGATTGTAAAACTCCTGCTGAAACCAACTCTACTTTTAGTGTTTTGCTCTCTCGTGGTCCGAGACAAATATGCACAGAAACTGCCAAACTGTTCGCTGAAAGAGTTCGCCAGTAAACAGAAACAGACAATCCAAAACATTCCCTCCCAACGTTTGTATAAGAACACAGTCTTTTCCCTCCTTCTAGGAAAGGAAAAGTCTTTCCAGGAAGGTCTCCTGCTGTCAGAGCAGGGGGAGTATACATTTCTGTGTTTATGTGTGTGTGTGTGTGTGT